TCGGCCTTCAATTCACTCTTAAAGAAAACAAAGATTTATCCGAATATTTAATCACATCTCTTTAATGTTAATTAATAGTTGAAAGTAGCGGTCTAGATAATGCTATTTGACTCGTTCGTTGATGTAAAGCAGTACACAACAGATTAAAGAACATCACTTGATGTGACAGCTAACTTAATTAGGTTGATAGGCCCTTTTTCTTTAATTGTCCAATATAATACTCCCTCCGTCCCTTAAAACTTTGCCAACTTTCCATTTTTGGATGTCCCACTAACTTTGCCACTTTCCATTTTAAGTAAAGAATTTGTGGTTCCAACTAATTCTCTCTCCTCTGTACAAACCTCAACCACACAGTTTTTACTTTATTAATCTCCGTGCCGGTCAAACTTGGCAAAGTTTCAAGGGACGGAGGTAGTAATTTCTTAATTTTAGTACAATCGTATACGAAGTATGGGATATATGGAGTACTCCATCTGCCCCTTTTAAATGTCTCGTTTTTCCATATTGGGATATATCTATTTAATTGTCGTATACCTTATTTGGTAAAGTTTGTGTGATTCAAAATTATTCTTACTTTATTCTTACTTTATCAATTAATATCAACCACACAAACTCACTTTTCTTAAAATTCGTGTCACCCTCCTCTGGGACATTTAAAAGGGGACGGAGGGAGTATACACAAAGTAAAAAAGAAGAAGAATGAGATTAATTTAAAAATAGCCTACCTAGTAATACAAACTAAAGGTTTGATTTCTTACCGTAAAAAAGGTCTCTAAAGACGACAAAATCACGAAAGACTTTTAAAGGGTGCACAAAAAACTTAATTATTCAGTTGAAAAAAGAGAGAACTTAAAGGATCTCAATTGACACATCATAATTTACTACGAAGTAATGTTTTCTTTTGGATCGTTTTCAGATCATACCAGACCAGATCAGATCAGATCAGACCAGACCAGATCAGACCAGATCATACCAGACTTCCGTAGTTTTAAAATACACAGAGACCAGACGTTTACCAGACCAGATCAGACCAAACCAGATCAGCAAATTTCACTTATTGGGTTCTCATAAATGACTTAGAATAAAGATGTACGGAGTATATTTGAAGGTGACAACGGTTCTATTTTCACAATTTGAAAAATGAAATCACCGGAACATTATATAACGTTATATCTAGCTATAACGTTTTATTACTTGAAAAAAAATTGACTCAGGATTATACAGTATCAAAATTGGATTTTGTGGTCCCGTAATTAAGTTCACAGTTTGACTTCACACAGATTAAGAAAATAAGTTTGACTTTACTGTGGAGTGCACTGTTTTGCACTGTTTAAACACTGTTTGACACTGCTTGGACACTGCTTGGCACTGTTTGACACTTTTTTGATTTAGATTATTTGCCAAATAAGGAAAGTTTTGAAGTGTGAAGTTAATTTCGGGACTGTCCGAAAAAGAAAGTGAGAAGATAATTTTGGGACGGAGGGGAGTTTGCTTGCAGTTCACAGTTCTCTATTCTATAACGAACCATCAATGATAGTATGGTATAAAATCTAATTGGATTCAAACAGGGGCGGAGCCAGGAGACTGAGCCGGATTGTGCCGATATAAATAATATTTTCGGGAAAAATTTTACCTACATTTTTAAAAATGGGGCTGGGCCAGGGCTAGGGTTGGCCCACCCCTAGCTCCGCCCATGGATTGAAACAAATTATTTCACTTCCTTAAATTCAAATAGCAATGATATTTAGAGCCCTTTTATTAACATTAATATTTTGTTGTTAAAGTTAATAAAATCTGGTACATAGATAGAAGAGGCCGTTCTAGCACTAGACTGATGCCACTTCTGTGTAGTACTTTGTATTACGTATGGAGTATTTATAAAGACTTGGGGTTCAATATCATCAACCTAGAACGAGGAATTCAAAGCTTTATATAATGTTGTGTTCTTTTATATCTTTCCGGCGTAAAACAAATTCTTTAACATTATTATAGACAAGCGAGTATCATGTATAGAGAACTTGAAGTGACTGTTTGAGAATCGAAGCCGTCTGCTACTTCTTCTTTTCAAGTGTATGTATGTGTGGGTTCAAAGCAAACAGCCCAATTATATATTGACTGCCGAAAATGATAGTGGGAACTTAGCTTTTGTCGTCAGCAGATGCACATATTACGGCCGCAAAAAAACTTTTTGTTAAAGCAGATTCAATTCTTCACTGAAACGATCAACGACCGCAGCCTGATTGGTGTAGCTACTTTCTATACACAAAATCCCATATTCGGACGGCACGCCGATTTCTCAAAATCAGCCCTGGGATTTGGGGTTACGTGGCCTCAGTTCGACCTCTATAAATTAATAATAATTCGGCTTGAGTCAAATCATCACATAAACAAAAGGCCTTCAACAAAAAATCCTGTCAAATTGGGTTCTTCCGAGACATTGGGGGGTTCCGATTGGGCAGGAACCCTTTATATTAGGTTGACCAGGCTGGTCTCGTTTAATTTTCTAAAGATTGCTTTATACTAGGGGTGGACATGGTCCGGAACGGCCCGGTAAATTAGCAAAACATGTAATGTATCCGTGAGGTTTCTAACGGTTGGATACGGTCCGGTTCTAAGACTAGAACCACTGGCGTATCTACTATGGGGGCAGCGGGGGCAGCTGCCCCCACTCAACCCCAACCCCTATATATATGTCCAAATTTTTACAAGAAATTCCTCAAATTAAGAGTTAAATGTAGAAAAAAAATTCTAAAATAGGATTAAAAGTGTTTTCTTTAATATTAAAAGAATGAAAGGCTAAAAATTCACTAAATTATGTTATGTTTAAGACTGTTTAACTTATATTTAGGTAAATTTATTACATTTTATTTGCAATTACATCTTTACACACCCGTAATATAAATTAATCTTCTTTTTTTTCATACTTGTACATAGATATTATAAACTAAATTTAATCAAACAATATTAATAATGTGATTTGTTATTTGTGAAATATGAGACTAAATTGTAGTCAAGTTTGTCCCCACTCGCCAAAGTTTCTCGATACGCCACTGGCTAGAACCATTTGGTACCATGTCATTTCGGAACGGTACAAAACGGTTTGGTACAATGCCAAACACATGCCGAAATATTTGAACAAATTTTGCAATTAGTAGATATCATCACACGAGCCAATTGACATGAAATTTTGATAAAAATACAAGAAAGTGCATACTAAATACTAGAAAAGATTCAAGAGGTTGACATTTTTGTATTTAAATTAAAAAACACTCAAATAGTGAAAGAAATTTAGTAAAAGTATAGTTCTAAGTTGAATATTAATTCTAATATAGGTCATAGTTGAACCGTAAGAGATGTGATTCAAACCATATTAATTAAGTTATAAAACTACACAAATATGATACAACAAAAGTCATATACACTACATTACTAGAAATTAATAGTCATTAATGTTTTTTAAAACTTTGGCATTCTTTCACTATATACCAAATATAACATAAATTAATTATCTAAAAGGAAAAAATAATACGGAGTAATATTAATATATAACACACACTTAACTATTTTAGGGATGCATGAATACATACTTGTGCTATAATGTTGTTGGTCAATATATAGAAGATATTTATGGGTATGGAAAAATATAAAATATCTCAAAGACGTTATTTTTGAACGGTTCAGTCCGGTATTTTTCGGTTCTCAAAATCTAGGACCGGTCTCATACCCGTTTGAAACGGTATGGTTTCGGTTCGGGATAAAACTTTATAGAACTATTTAAATACCCGATATTCGGTTCGGTACCATTACGGACTGGTTCGGTGCGGTTTTTATGCCCACCCCTACTTTATACTACGTAGCTTCCTTCGGTTTCCAAAAATACGGCTATCTCCATCATGTTTTCCTTTGGACTGTTTTCAATTTCAGATCAGATCAGACCAGACCAAATCAAATCAGACCAGACCAGACCAGATCAGACCAGACTTCCATAGTTATAAAATACACAGAGACCAGACGTTTACCAGACCAGACCAGACCAGATCAGACCAGACCAGACCAGAACAGACTACACCAGACCAGATCAGACCAGACCAGACCAGCAAATTTCAATCCAAAGAACATCCTTACTCCTACTCCGTATGTTTTAGACGCATATATAGGTTTCTTATCTATAACAATTACTCCGTATAATAATGTTGAATCGACCAAAATAGAAATTAGAAGAATGACCACATCACTACTCCTTAGAACTCTGGGGTGTTTGGGACTGATTCTGCTTCTGCTTTTTTTTAAAGCATAAACAGAATCAGCATTAGTTTTCAGAAGCTGGTACCCCCAGCTTCTAAAAAAACTGATTCTGGGAGTAAATTAGAGCACCAGAAGTGCTTCTGGAATTTCACCCAAATACTCCAGCTTCTGATCCAAACACTCCTTCTAAATTTATTCCAAATTTTCTTCCACCCACATCAATTAGACTACCTTAATTTTAATTTAACCGAATAAAGAAATGAGACAATTTTAACATAACAAATGTATTAGCTTTTACGGAGTAGTTGTTAGTACTAATAGATTCCAATCGAAAAAATAAAAAAAAGCACCTTAGGTCTTTAGTTATTATTCCTAAATGAAAATGAAATAGTAACCAATACATAACCAGATAAATACGTTCACTCCTTCCCATAATTGAAGTCCCAAATTAATTTTAGAGTCTTTTAGGTGAAGCGTTGACCCAAAATATGTAAACAAGCGTATAAAGTAAAGTGATGTGAGTTTTGAATGTTTATTGATCAAAGTTCATAAATTTTGACTCAAAAACCAAATTTGGACTTTAATTAAACGATGAAGTATTAAAAATGTGTGATTTTAATAGTGTTGATCATAACATTTGTAGTAATTATCGTGAGTATATTCGTGGTCGATTGTGATGATCATACAGCTAACTTAACTTGTGTTTTTGTTGTGGTACGTTCGGACCATGATGCGGCATGGATGGATGTGGGCAGGACTCATATGCATTATGCCGTGTGTTCAAGAAGAATGGAATATGCAGTGAAATAGAAGACCAAACACAGCCTTCGGTTCGCCGCTTACAATTACTGGACTACTCATCAACGCAAGTAGTCGTCCCTAATGATCAGTACGAAACCCCATCTCCAGATGTCCCATTCACATCATCTTCTTGTGTGGAAGAAGATGACAACAATAATAACAGAGAAGAGAAGGATGATTCTTGGATGCAGTTCATCACCGAGGATGCTTGGTCTTCCTTCACTTCCCCCTATGCTCCTGAGTTGGAAGTGTCTCAAACTACATTCACCAATTGATTTTTATTAACTACCACATTAATTAAAATACATACTACTATAACAACTACTACAAAAAATACGGGATTGACACGGATTTGACACGAATTGACAGATAATTTCGTGCCAAATAGCGCATTCTAAAATGTTTTTGGCACGAATTTCCTATCTCTGCCAAATTCTCTATGAATTTTGGCGAATTCCTACAAAAATCCTTATCAATCCCGTTTTTCTGTAGTGCAACAAATATTTTTATATCATATATACGTATACAAATATCAATTTTACTTGTTTTGTGTTTGTAACGTCTAAAGTTTTTTATTCAATTCGATACACAATGATGATAAATATTTTCTAATTAGGTGTATCGTTTGTTCATTATATTGGTTTGTGGCTGTTCGAATTGTATACAGCCGATTTATTATCTTATTAAGAGCATTATTGCAGGTTAGGCTCCAACTGGCCGGCCTCTTCCTTCACGTTTAATTTTGTTAATTATCTTCGTGTAACTCTTGTTATATAAATTAAATGATGTTTTTCCCATGTGTATTATTGAAATGTGACCATATTCATTTCCCTTTTATTATTTCCTCCATCCTTACATATGTAGTGTTTTGTACTTATTACACATATTTACATGGGTTATGTAATATTGCATGGCCCATATATGCATGTTACTTTGTTGTTTCTCATCATGTATGCTACTGCATAAATACCTCATCAGAGGTTCATCAAGAATACAAGAGAGTATCATCTTTTATTACGAAGAGTTTCATTTTAGTTTCATAATTTTATAGTTCTTGTCAATTTTATCATGGTATCAGAGCCGAAATCCTAGAAATAGAATAGTTAGTCTTTATTTTAGACATGACAAATTTGTTGCCATTTTTCCGCCCTTGGATAATTGATTCCGGAGCTTTCGAACACATCACTTGTGACAATACTAATTCTGTCAATGTCTCGAGTTCCACCTATGAGCAACAAGTCAGAATTCCTAATGGTGATTTAGTTCCAATACATGCCGTCAGTAGTTTGTATTTACCGAATGGGCTTTATCTCCGCCATGTTTTATACATCCCAAAATTTCAGTGCAATTTACTTTCGGCAAGTCGTCTTACAAAGGATTTAAATTGCACACTAGCATTTTTTCAAGACTTTTGTGTTTTACAGGATTTACCCTTGAAGAAATCGATTGGGGTGGGTCGGTTTCGTGATGGTCTTTATTACCTTGATTTTCCAAGAGTTGAAGAGGTGGCAATGTCAGTCTCCATTAATTCTGATCTATGGCATCAACGTCTGGGACATGCATCTGATGGGAGGTTACATCATACTACGTATTACTTCTCTCAAAGGCTTTCGGGAAAGTAGTAAATTTTGTGATCCATGCATCCAAGCTAAACAAACTAGACTATCATTTCCTACAAGTAACATTAAGACTACTCGCTGTTTTGAGTTGATACATTGTGACATTTGGGGAGGCTATAGGTGCAGTACAATCTCCGGTGCAGGTACTTTTTATCTATTGTTGATGACTTTACAAGAGGGGTGTGGGTTTATTTAATGAAAAATAAATCTGAAGTTTCTCAACTATTGATTCAATTTTGTAACATGGTTAGTACTCAATTTGAGCAAAAGGTCAAGCGTATACGGGCTGATAATGGTTTGGAGTTTCAAACCAATATTTTATTTGATTATTATGGACGCACTGGAATATTATTGGAGACATCATGTACAGATACACCAAAACCAAATGGAGTTGTTGAATGTAAGCATAGACATATTTTGGAAGTTGCTAGGGCACTTCGTTTCCAGTCTGGGTTGCCAATTGATTTTTGGGGAGAATGTATTATAACTGTTGTTTACATAATTAATAGGCTTCCCTCACCTATCATTTCTAACAAAAGTACGTTTGAAATGTTATTTGGAAAAATACCTAGCTATGAACACTTGCGAGTTTTTGGATGTTTGGTATATGCACATGATAATAAACGGCAAGATAAATTTGGCGAGAGGGGAAGTCCTTGCATTTTATTGGCTATCCAAATGGTCAAAAAGCCTATAAAGTATTTGATTTAAAGAAACATATTGTCTATAGTTCACGGGATGTAACCTTTTATGAAGGCAAATTCCCATTTAAAATAAGCCTTGATGAATTGCTTGATTTTCCGGCAATTGTTGACAAAGTACACAGGCACGTAATTAGTTATGAGCTTCCTACACCGCAGCCCCACACCTCACATGGCAGGACCGATTTTCATCCGGTTGTTACTTGCGGTCAACCCCATTTTTTGTAGGAAACTCATGAGAAATTACTAATATTGGACAACCAGGAATTCCTCAATTTTGTGGACCGAAGCAAACTCCTACATGTGAATCAACAACTGGAAGCAGCTGCACTAACCAACTTGCTTCCAGATTCAATGCATGGATATCAGCCCTGCTATGTCGATAAGCTGCATAGATCTTCTGTTGCAGCCCCACATATGAAGCAATATGGCACCAAGTCATGGCACCACTACAGAAAAAGGAGGCCAGTTGCTCCCTGCTGGAATCGACACTTCACCCTGCGACCTGCCACATATCTGCCAACTCTCTGGACAGCAGTCATCCGCCGGTGAGCAACAAAACATGCCTTTATTTTATGGATAGCAACGACCTTCACCTGCGGCTCCTATGCATGAGTCAGCATGCGATGTCTCCACTTCTGAAATAATGAAAGAGCGGCAGTCAGATGCCTATACGACATCACCTATACCCACCACTTGTGGACCTCCATTCATTCAACCTCACAGTTCTGCAAGAGAGACCATTCGAACGGGTCCCATTGATCCTTGCATTTGCACCTAGTTCCCATCCAAAAAGGAGTGAACAGAATCGCAAACTACCCAAGCATCTTGATATTTATGAAACTGACTTGCCCGCTTTCCTCAATCCCTCACGATCCGCTGCCAGTTCGGTTGACTCGACGGTATATCCTATTTCCAATTTTATTAACTATGATAAATTTTCTCCTTCACACAAAATATTTTCAGTGGCCATCACTTCACGAATCTTCACCAAATCAACTTAGTCTATGCATCAAAGAAAAGGGAACTGACTTGCAAACCTCACGAAGAAAAGTTCACTGGTGATAATGATGATGATGACTTAGATGATGATGATAACAATGATACTCCAAATGGCCCTCCAGAGAACAGAGGTAAACAAATCATCTCCTCTTCCTCTTCCAGTGATAAGGAACCCCGAATGGTTCTAGAAAAATCTAGATTTGAGACTAGGGGAGGTGGAGAAACCTCAAGAATAATGGAGGAAGAAGCACAACAGTCCACTGAACAGCATCCTGCCAACATTCCACTCCAGGAGCCCACTACTCCGCCTATGGCAGATCAAGAGTAGCAGTTGAGTGAAAATTCTTAAGAGTCAACTCAAATCTTAGAGCAACACTCTCCTACATTCATTGTCAACCACGAGAATGATGAGGAAGACACTGCTTCCCTGGCAGATGTCTTCATTAAGGAAAGAAGAGCAACAACCAAGTTCATAAGCAATGCTGAAGTTAGATTACACAAAAGGCTCATCAAAATGAAGAAGCAACTTGAAGAAAGACTGGATATCAGGTTTGGAGAAGTCCACAGTCATATCAGGACTGATTTAATGATCCATCAAGTGTTCAACGCTGAGCAGAGAGCTCTACTCAAAACCAGGACCTCACAACAGTCAACTCTGACTACCGAGATAAAGCAGGAAATTGCTGCACTAAAAGCTAAGAATGAAGAACTAGAAAATCAAATTCTAGCATTCCAAAGGCAGCAACAAGCTCAATCAACTGTAGCAGGACCTTCTGCCCAGGTACCTTCTTTCCCTTCCTTACCTCTTAACCTTGAGCAGGCCCTTCAAAGAATTCAAGAACATGAAGCTTACATAAACAAGCTCAAGAACGAGGAGTTCCCTGCCATGCTCAAGCTCTCCCAAAAGTTCCTCACAGAGCAACAGGCTCATGCTAAAGCCTATGAGCAACTCTCAAAGGACATTGCTAACAACTTCGAAGTTCTCCATAAAGGGACTCAAGAAACCTTCTGGAAGCAAGGCAGTGACTTCCAGAAACTAGGACAAGATCTGGCAGAGACAAAACACAAACTTCAAAACTTGGAACATGAAGTCAAGGATGAGGTGAAGACAGATCTTATGGACATCAACAACTACATCAAGGCATTTTCCATTGAAGTCTATGGCTTGGATTCATCAAGAAATGAAGATCAAGACTCAGATGAAGAAATTGAAGCACTCTTTAGAGAAAGTCACCCCCCCCTTCTGCATGATGCCAAAAAGGGGGAAAGATCAACTCCAGCAGGCCCCTCCTCTTCAAGATCATTAGCAGCCAAAAAGGCAGCTGAAAGAAGAAGAAAGAACAAATTATATCGAGAAGAAGAGCAAATAAGAAGAAGGAAAGAAGAAGAAGAAGCAAGAGCAAAAGAAGAGGCCAAGAAGAACTTAGAAGTGGTCAACAAGAGCAGACTTGACCAAAAGTCCGAAAGTGACTAAAAACTATTGTACTTTAGATTTTAGACCAATGTACAATACTCTTATTGAAAATCAATAAAAAAATTTGTTTCCTGTGTTGTATAGTTTTGGCATCATCAAAAAGGCGGAAATTATTAGTACCCAATTTTGATAGATTTTGATGATGCCACTATACTTAACACCTGTACATTGTGTCTTATTCAATTCGAGTAAATTAATTATAAGTGACAAATCATTGAGTCGAAACTCCTTGTTACGGATGTTCTCTCTCTACACTTCTCTATTGATATGTGTTCTTCATCTATTTCATCATTATGAATATCAATAAAGTTATTGTTGGATCTTAGTTGTTCTACGTATAAATTATGATTCATTGTTAGTTTTGTTATTCGACTGTTGAACTTGGAATTCACTATTACCTATATTGTACATTTGGTTTCTCAGTTTATGCATGCTCCACCTACTACTCATTTTTCTCATGTTAAAGAATTTATAGGTATTTACAGGGCATTAGTGAACACAATCTATTGCTTTGTCAATCCAAAAATCTCCATGACCGTTACCTTTTCAGATCTTGATTGGGCTGGTTGTATGGATAACTCTCGTTCTATAGTTTCCATTTTTTGGAGATAATTTAGTTTCCTTACTGCCCAAAAAGCAATCCGTCATCTTCATATCCTCTATTGAAATTGAGTATTGTGGTGTTGCCTCCATCGTGCAAGATACCCTCTACATTGGGTCTATTTTGACTGAACTCGGCATTCAGATTACTTCGTTATGACAATGTCTCTACCTCTTATCTTGATGTTAATCCTATTCAACACTATCAACAAACACATCAAGATAGATTATCATTTTGTACGTGAAAGATACAATAAAATGGGTTTATAGAGGCGGGACATTATTGCCTCTAAAAGCATGAAAGTAGCCTCTAATGATATTTTGGAGCAATTTTTTGGTTGCCTCTAAAGAATCCGTCGCTAAATGATGGTTGCCTCTAAATCGACATTTAGAGGCAACCAAACGTGTGATGCAAAAAGGTATGCAATTAGAGGCAACCATAATAACTTGCCTCAAAGCATCATTAGAGGCAAGCACAATATCAAGCCTCTAAATATCATCGGGGGCAACAAATTTCTATAGTCACAAATTACAATTAGAGGCAAGCACAATATAGTGACACACAACACCTTTAGAGGCATTGTCCAATTTTGACGCTAATGTTTTTTAGATGCAACTCATTTTTTTTATCATGAAAGCTTTTAGAGGCAATCATATGTTGTTGCTATATTATTGGTATTACGAATGATGTATTATTAAAATTGAATTATTTTTTATTTAAACAGTAAAATACTCAATGATCTAGTATTAAAAACAAGGAAACACGAATAAAATAATATATATTATATTTATATAACCTCAATAAAAACAAAATTTAATCATTCAGTAACTAAATTACATTTGTAATTTTTATCAACTTTTCTGAACTATTTCATCAATGACAATTAGTCAATCAATCTTTGTATGAACCCTTGCTAATATATCGCCTACTAAACACTATGAACAAGATAGAATTAAGTGCAGTCATTTGTCTTCTCCCATCTATATTTCGCTATTTTTATCCTTCTGAAATATTATAAGCAATAAATTAGTCGTTTGCAATTACAAAAGTAAATATAGTACAAATAAGAAGTAATGAAATTAAGTAATGAGATACCTCACTAGTTATCAATTGAGAAAATTTACATTCTATAATGTTCAGAAATTTTGTGAATTAAATACACCTGAAAAAACATTAGCACACTTTGGGCTAGTTCAACTTAATGTTGGATACAACTTGAAGCTGACTTCACTTTTTATTACCTAACCTAAATCCAGACAAAAAGAGAAGAGGTATAACATATTTGACCTTCTAATCTCATTAACATAAAAGTCCAAGCACATGATTTGAGCATGAAAGAAAAGTCATGCATATTTGAACAAAATACAAATGCACTAGCAGAATAAACATCATATTAGGCATCAACAAACTGCTATGTTTATTCAAATTTGACGAGGAAGATAATCAACTTTTTCATAAACCAAAGTTCCAACAACACAGTCAACACTTAACTTATATACAATATAACGAAATATAATGAGGGTGGTAATAATAAATGACATTCTGGACAAAGTATATCATATGCATAAATAGTTACCATCAAATTTAGAAGGCAGATATACACAGTTGCAGGGTTTTGCATGTAGTATCTGTTCCATTTAAAATACCAGAATACCTGCATTATTGCATAAAACTTCTGTCACACTTCCCATGGAAAGAATTATCAGAAAAGGCATAAGCACTCAAAGGGCAAAATTTA